GGAAAGCCTGCATCAGCAGCCCACCAGGCAGGTGGGCACACACCTGTCCAGATACACAGGTGACCTTTCTGTGGTTGTGCCTGGGCTGCTGTACTTTGTGGAGCCACCCATGAGGCAAAAGCAAACAGAGGTGTTTGCTCAGGGCTGGCCACCTGCTCTCTCCAAGGCCCAGGTGCTGCATGAACTGCTGTCCTCATGGTCCCAGCAGCACCACTTGCCCACAACCAAGCTCTCTAGGGGACCAAGCCCCAGCCAGAGGAGCCAAAGGAACAACAGTGCCCAGCTGCTCCTCTCGCCCCACCCTGCCCTGCCCAGGGTCTCAGAGTGGACCACTCAGAGGTCCACTGGCTTCACAGCCTCCAGCCTGAGGGCAGAGGGGAGGGGGGTCCCTGAGGCACCCCACAATCACACAGCTGTGAAGCCAGAGCTTGATGGAGGGCCAGAGCCCACCCACGTGACCTAGCCTGGCCGCAGAGCTCAAGGAAGGCGGACAATGGAAACAAGGCGAGGAGGAAGGCAGGAGGAGGCCCAGGCCACCAGGCCTGCCAAGGGTCCTGGCACCTTGATCAGGAGAAGGCCCATGCCAAGGCGCTCGGAAGGGAGGTGAAGCCCTACTTCGGGGGCATAGTATTGCCTCCTTAACCCCTGCACCGGCCCTGGCTGCTGCACAGTGGGGGGAGCCAGGCAGACTCTAGGAGGCCTGGGGCCTTCTCACCCTCCCTGCTCACCCAGGGGAGCAGTGCCCACAGGAGCAGTGTCCAGTCTTGGTGCTACAGGGACCCCATGAGCTCAACCTGAGTCACACTGACCCCACAGCCTCCCAGGAGCCAAAGACCCCAGACCCAGGTGCAGCTGGGCAGGGAGAGATGGGCCAAGTGCCGTCCCCTCCCCTGCAGCCAGGGTCAGGGTGCGCTCCCCGCCTGGCAGCCCACTGCCCCCACAGACACATGCGTCAGAGAGGAGTAACCACCCGAGGGCACCACCAGCCCCAGAAAAGCCCAGGAGCCTCCCTCAGGAGTGTTTGGGGGGGCCGCTCACTGCCACTATCATTGTTAGTATTAAGTCTCTCATACGGAAAACACTATGTTGGGGTGGGGGGGCACGCAGCTGGGCGGAGGGCAGCACAGTACCAACGCGGAAGTGGGAAGCGGGCTCAGCAGTGGAGGTGTGGCTGCCTCCACAGACTGAGGCTGTGCTGGTGGGAGGGCTGGGCTGCCCCTTCGGCTCAGCCCTATTTCCCTGGACACCCCACTGAGGGCTTTCTTCTAGGGAGGACTCTGAACTGGACAAGGAAACACAGGGGCACTCACGTCCCTGACACCCAGCCTTCCCACCCTGCACCCCTTTCGCTCAGCACAGTAGCTTCTGTCAGATGCAGGTCCCCAGGCAGATGCAGGTGCAAGAGCCACTTCCTGGGCGTCCTGGCTGCATGCTGCACCACCACCAGCACAGAGATGTCTTCCTGCCACACCTGCAGCACACAGGGTCCTTCCCCTAGGCCACCTTTGACAGGGCCGTGCCTGTGCTGGCTCCAGACCCACCTGCACTCCCAAACATCAGCTGAAGCAAAGGTCCTGCCTGCGGAAACAGCTGAGATCCAGAGGGGCTCCTGTTTCAGGTGTCCGAGCACAGTGCCACACGTCACTCCCATATCTGGGCCAGGCTGTCCTCAGAGCACCTAGAGCCCGAGGTCAGCGACTCACCGGTGGGTGGGCGGGGTCAGGGCCACTTCCCTCTCCTGGGACCCCTCCTCAGCCCCACCCCTGGTATCCGCCACCACTGGCCCAGAGAAGGGGCTTGCAGAAAGTCAGAAGACCAAGGGTGGGGAGTTCCTAAGTCCTCTCCACCAACTCCTATAGGAGCCTCAGTTTCCTTACCTGTGAAATGGGCAAACAAGGCCACAACCCTTGCAGGCTTATTGGGAGGATAGAGTGAGCTAGCAAACAGGCAGCTCGAAGCACAAGAGCAGCATGCTGTGAGGCTCCCGCAGGGTGGCTATTGCTGGTAATCAGCCTTATCCAGTCACCGCATGGGGACTTAGAGGGTCCTCTGTCAGGCCGCAGGGGGGGAAGGCCTCAGGGGAGATTGCAGCTTCCGGCCCTCCCTTCCCCTTGGCACCCCAGGCTCCATTTTAACAGATATCATAATTTTATATTCCTTTTCTCCTCCCCTGGCTAAAAGGCCATTAGCTCCCCATTAGGTGAACGCATCCCATTTTCTTCACACCACGGAGGAAACAGTGATTTACTTAGCTTGTCCCTAAAGCAGTTCTGTAGGATAAAGGCGGCTCCATAAACTTCCCCGTTTGTTCTCTGCTCATGGGCCCCACACTCAGGTGCCTCCCAGCTGGCCCAGTCCCCCAGTGAGGGGTGAGGGCTGCCCCTAAAGGCCAGAGGGGCTCAGCAGGCTGGAGTGGAGAAATCGGGAGGCCCAATGAGTCTGGAGGCAGAACAAGCCTTCCACTGGCCCCTGGCCAAAGAGGGGAGGGGGCAAAAGAAAAAACAAGTAGGTGGAGCCATGTCCCCCCTCCACCCTAGGTGCCTGCTCTGACACCTGGTGGTGCACAGAGAGGAGGACCACCCAGGTGCTCCACAGATGGGCAGCCTGGCACCCTGGGGACAGGGCCCTGCCATGTCATAGTGCCTGGATCTTTGGTGCTGGGAGCCGAAGGTCCTGGGGTCCACAGGCCTCTGTGGACTGGGCCTTCCTTGCAGCCGGAGGTGCTGAGCAAGCGGGACCCTAGAAGCCAAGCCTGGGAGATGAGAGATAAGAGGAGGAGCTGCAGAGGAGCTGCTGGCCAGCCTGGCACCTACAGGGGGAGTCCCAGATGCTGGGACTCCCTCATCCCTGAAATGGGGATAGCCATACCGGTGCTGAGCTGTGAGATGTCAGAAACTTCTAAGAACAACTTTTAGATGGAGGTTTTCTAGGTCTGGTTCCTAGATACCCGGGGCATGTGTCCCTGTATGTACACGTGTGGGGAGGTGTGTGAGTGAGTGGCAAGAGAAGGGACTGGGCTCCTGTTGCACCTGGGTGAGGGTGCAGTGTGAAGAAGCCAGGTCACACTGCAGGAACATGCATGTCCACAGGCCTCATGAGCACGTCTCCGGGGGAAGAGCAGGAGTGTGTCTTGGCAATGACAGAGCATGAGTGTGAGTGTGTCAGCTGGGGAAGGACCCTCATCCCTAGAGACTCAGCCCATCCCACCCACCCCCACAGGCCCAGCCACTAGAGTGCTGCGTCCGCAAGAGGGCGCCTGAGGCCAGCTGTCCCCACAGGGTGGGTCAGGGGAGAGCACACAGAGTCACTCGTGACAGCTCGGGGAAGCTGGGCAGCTCCAGGTTGCCGCTGCTGGTGAAGAGCCCCCGAGGCCTCTCCAAAGGCCCCAGCGGTCTCCTCTCTCGGTGTGGGGTTGCTTCCCCACTCCCAGTGCCAACAACTGTGGTTTCGTGGCATCCCAGGGCACAGGGGCTCATGTTCTCTAGATTGGGGGGGCTGTCTGCAGCTACCCAACTCTGGGCTCAGGGGTCTGGGCACAGAAAGCTACCTGCATTCCTGCCAAGTGCCACAGGCTGGCCAGGAGCCTGGGCACCCAGGCCATGCACAAAGCTACGGGAGGGTGTGGGAAAGCCCCGCTGCCCAGCACTCGGGCTTCTGGCTCAACATGGCCACAACTGCAAAGTTGCAACCCAGAGTCCCAAGAGAGCTTCAGAACACCTTGCTTACCTCTGCCCTGGGTCCTCCCCTGCAGCACTGTGACCCCAGAGTCCCAACAATGGGAACAGACTCCCCATCCCCATTCTTTGGGGTGGGAAGGCAAGGCTTCTCCCCTGCCCTGTGATGGACTGGGGGCCCATTCTGACGTCAGCATATCCTGAGCTGCGGAGCCAGCCACAGAGGAGGCCTGTGAACTGTCTGTGCAGGACTTGGGGCTAGAGGCAGGGTGACCACAGCCTCTTCTGTTACCAAAGGCTCCAGGGAGAGAAAGCCCTTTGTAGGGATGGGCGAGGGTGGCCAGAGCTCCTTCCCTCTCAAAAGGAAACTTGGTTCATACAGAATACTGGGGGGAGATCAAGTCAGGGCCGGTTTCAATACACAGCCCAAAGGGTCACAGATTCTCCAACCTTGAGGCTCATTCCGTGAGGGTTTGGGTGGGGGCGGTGACCAGTCTTGGCTAGGCCACGCCTAATACTGGGATCCCATAGCGCCCGGAGGCTGCACAAGGCACAGCACCCACGCGGGCGGCGCATACATTCCGCTTACCTCAGCCCAACCTGGTCAAAAGCACGCAGTAAATATTGGCCCTGAGCCGTCCAATGGCCCAAAGGCCGCACCTTCAGGGGCTCCCGCCTGGTAGCGGCGCAGCACACCAAGGCTGCCGGGCGGGCCTCGGGCCGCAGCGGGCCCTCAAGCGAAGCCACTTCAGAAACCACAGGCTTTTGGCTTTTTAAAGACCAGCGCGGCCAAAAAGCACAAGGGAAATGCAGCCGTTTATAAAAGAGCCTCCGCACCCCTCGGCCGGCTGGGGCGGCAGGGCTGGAGGAGGAGCGCATGGACGTGCGGCCCGAGAAGGAAACCAGGGCCGAGCAGACTTCTGCAGAAACAGAACTAACTCCCCGCGCAAGTCGCGGGCTTTCTGGGGCTGCCTGACCCGTCCGCCCACGCCTGTACCGAAACGGCTGTCCCGTTTGCGCCGGGACGCGGCTTTCGCGCGAGGCGCAGTCAGGTTGGGACGCGCGGCCGCGGCTTGGGCTCTGGGCACCGACCGCCGGCGCCGGCCCGTGTCCCACTCCTGCCGGAGACCCGCCTAGCCCGAGGCCCGAGGCGCCGTGCCCACCGCCCAACGCGGCCACTTCGCTCGAAGCTGAAGCAGACTGGCCGGCAAGGGCGCAGCCCGCTGCCCACCACAAACGGAAAGGCGTTTCCGAACGCGTCCGCTCCGCCGCTCGGCGCGCGGCGCCAACTTCGCCCTGGCCGCTGCGGGAGGCGGCAGGACTCACCTTCGCCGAGCAGCGGCAGCAGCAGCAGCAGCCGCAGCCCCGCGGCACCGGACGTCGCCTTCGCCATCGCCTGTGCGCGCCGGGGCCACGGCTAGAGGGAGGGCGGCGTGGGCCGGCGGGTCTCGGCGGGTCTCGGCGGTGGGGTTCGGCGCTCAGCCGGGCTGCCCCATGCCCGCCCGGAGCGTGGCGGTAGCTGCGGGCTCGGCGCGTCGGGGCGCGGACTCCCGGGCACTCTGCGCTGCTGCGCGCCCTCCTTGGGTAGCCGGACTGAGGTGAGGAGAGCGCCGTCTGCGACAGAGGAGCGGGCAGGGGCGGGGCGGGGCGGCACGGGGGGCGGGGCGGGCCGGGCGGGAACAGGGTGCGGGCGGGTGCGGGGTGGGCGGGGCTCTGGGCTCCCACCCGGGCTGTGGGTTGGAGACAGTTGCGGGACGTGCGCTGCTGGCCAGGAGAGGCGCGTGTCGGAGGGGGGATGAGAAGGCTGGGTGCGGCCGGGCGGAGCGCGGGTAGGAGCGGGGTGCGGGCCGGGCGAGCGCGATGCGGATAGGCCAGCGGTAGCCGGCGTCCGCGCACCTCTGCTCGCTCAGCCACTCTTTCTCACCCGGTGCGCCCGCTCGCGGTCCCTGCGTTTCGCCCTTTCCGCTCGCTGCATAGAGAGAGCAGAGAAGCCACGCCAGGATGCAAGGTCTGGCTGACTGGCTAAGGGTGCGACCGAGCGGACTCGGAGAAGGGCGCCCCGCCTCCAGGCTCTCGGCACCGAGCGCACCCTCCGCCATTTCTCAGAGGGGGAGGCGCGGTGGGAGCGCGGCCTTTTCGGGGACCAGAGGCTGGAGGAGGGGAAGAGCCTGGCTGGGAGTGGGCCGGAGAGCCTTCTGCGTCCTTCTGGGGCGAACCCAGCTTGTAGCTTACAGCATCCTCGGTGGCTCTGGTGGAGAGCGTGGGAGTCCCGCAGGGCCGGTTTGCGATTTCCCCTCTCAAGTACTGGTCCAACTAATGGGAACAGAAAACTGGCTCCTGGGCCCACCTTTGAAAGAGACGCGGTGCTGGCCTGACGGGGTGCTCGGGAGGTGGGTGCCTTTTCTCCCTCCAAACAAGAGAACTCTTAGGATGTAGGACTGACAAGGGAGGACAGGGAGTAGCAGAGAGGAACTGGAGCCCCAAAGAATCTAGTTTTCCCCCAAAGAATGATGCCTAGTAGCACATTCACCCCTAAAAGGGGTGGCCTCTGGAGCTGTAATAGGGAGTCCTAGGCTGAGGTTGGATGGCAGTTCTAAGCCTCTGTTCTCTCCCCACCCCTGAGCTGCTTTTTGAGGTCTGGCCCCCACCTAGATTCAGAGGGATGAGGGGATGGAAGCCCATGGGGCCTTGGTGTGAGAATGTCCAGGAACCTGGGCTTGGGGTCCCCCTGGGACAGCCAGTCCTCTTTCTGCTGTGTGCGGAACCCCACCCCTTGCCTGGCTCAGCGCAGGGCTGAGTAAGCCGTCCGCACCTCACTCTGCAGATATGAAGTCCAAGTGAAGTCACCCTCTCAGGCAGCAGAAGGAGCTGCCAAGACAGGCTGGCTTCGATTTGACCAACGGAGATGTCCAGAGTAGGGCTGCTGAAGGGTGGGCTACTGGGGTGCAGGCCTGCCAGTCCAGGAGAGCAACCCAGGGCCACTGGACCTGTGCTGACTGCCATACCCTCCCAGGGTTTATGGAGCTGGAGTTGGCTGTGGCGGCTCCCTTGGGTGCAGAGAGGCCCTATTTCTGGTGCTAGCAGCTATCCACACTGCACACTCAGGCCTATGCCCAGGGAAGGGACCTAGTAGGAAGGGAGGGGCTGGGGGGATCTTTTTGGCTACAAACAAGCTCCTGTGGACTTCCTGCTAGGAGAATGAAGAGGAAAAGGGGTGGGTCCAAATAGGCCCACTCTTTCAGCCAGCCCCACCCCACACCTTCCAGGGACCACCCTGGCCAGGCCTTAGCTGACACTGGACAGGTTAGACGTCTGGCTGGGCTCCGTGTGACCATCTCAAGGGACTATCTGGGACTGTGCTCCTGCCTGGCCTCCCTCAGGCCCTTCCACCCTCTCTCCCCGCCCCCATCCTTGGGGGTCCTGAGCAGACACCTGACAACGTGGTGGGGATATTGCCTTCTTGGAAACAGGTTTGGGAGACCTCACATGTGTATGCCCCATGCGTGCATGGACACATGTATACACATGAGCCTCAGTTTCCCCAGTGGTAAACATCTCTCTCTCTCGGAAGGGTGAAGATAAAAAGGCCATACATGTGAGGGTGGAGCCTGGCGCCAGGCACACAGGAAACGTTCGCCGGGTCACAGCCACTTCTTGCACAGGCCTCCCTGGGCCTGGGCTCAGGCATTCTTGCCCCACCACCCTGCTGAGAGGTGTGGGCTTTCTGGGAGCTGGAGGAATGTGCATCACAGTGTGGCTGGTGCCCCACCCTGCCCAGGTCCTCTTGGAGAATCACCAGGGAAGCTTTTACAAATACGCAGACTCCTGGGCCCACCACCATAACAACCTACATTAAAAAAATGTTCCTCAAGAGGTTCTGATGCTTTGGCGTGATCAGACCTGAACTTGAATTTTCCCACTTACATTCCCACTTACATGATGTCTTGTGGACATCACACAAATCACTTTACCTCTGAGCCTCAGTTTTGTCATCTGTCAAATGGGGGCTGAAATAGCATTCCCTGCTGTGGTCACTGTGAGGAGGGACTAAGATGGTGTTTTTGAGGCCCTTCCTTGGCACAAGGTCAGGTGCTCAGTAGGCAGTGGCTCACACCTTCTCCCTGCAGCAAGTGGGAGCTTGAAGGTTATTCACTGCTGCTGAGCATGGGTGGGCTACCTGAAGCCGCTTGGGTCCAGCCCCAAAGCACCAAACACTGCACGGAAAGGAGGGTGGAGGCCAAGCCAGCATGGAACCGAGAAGGTGATGGAACTGCGCCCGTGCCCACGTGGGTGTGTCCCGCAGCACCAAGAAGGCCAGCAGTGTGGAGTGAGGCTGAGAGCAGGGAACCCTGGCCCTGGCGGGGCCCTGCAGGGAGAGGGTAGAAAATCCAGAGCACAGCCCAGTCCTGTGGACAATGGAAGGCTGGTCAGCGTGGGGCGGCTGACCGAGGCCCCTCAGAGTGGGCGTGGGCTGGCATCCAGGTCTCTTCTGCAGGCAGTGTGACATGGTCAGTCCACTCTGAGGCCAGCTGTGTACACTGTTAGTGAACTGCTCAGTGCCTCAGTTTCCAGGTCTGCCTACCACTGCACTCTGTACCCCGATAGGGTGTTGAGGGGGGCATGTCTACTGCTCTCACGTTTGCCTCCCTGGCCCTCCTGCAGGGCAGCTGCAAGGAGAAAGCCAGTGCCTACCAGCCACCTCTGAGGGCTCCCAGTGGGGGGTCCTCAGTCAGCCCACCCCCACTTCAAATATGCTGTCCACATTAACATAGTCACAGAACACCAGCTTGGTGAGCTTCCATTGTGCAGCCCAGATGTCAGCTTTACCTAGCTGTGTGCAGGTCCCACCTGCCCGCTGGCCTTGGGTGCCCACAGCGACATTTGCAGACAGGGCCTCAGCCTGGCCTGTGGAAGACCCTCCCTTTCACTCTCCCTGGGACCTGACCAGGCCTGGGTGCCTGAGGCCTGAGGCTTGCATGTCCTTATAGAGCCCTCGGGGCTCAGAGAAAGCCCACCTCCACCCAGCTGACCTGTCCTTGTCTCCTCGCCCCAGACTTGGTTCTCTTCTGAATCCCCTCCTCTCCCCCCTTTCCTTCTCCCCCTTTTCCCCTTCTCCCCTCCCATGTCTCTTGGAGGGAGCTGTCCCAATTCCTTTCCCCCAGCACAAGAACAAGGGTAGAACGTCACTCAGCAGCTTTCGTAGTCCTTTCTGGGCCTCAGTTTCTTCATCTGTAACTTGGGAATTAAAACACGGGACCTGTCTTGCAGTGTGCTTCTAAAGATGAAGCCTGCAGTGCCTCGGTGGGCTCGGCAGACAAGGGCACTTTCTCACTGCTCTTCTGGGTTCTCTCTCCTCCGGGCAGCTGTCTAGGTGTGGGCTGGCCGTGGCCTGGTGGGAAGGCTGCAGGGCTTTCTGGATGTGTCCCAGCTGTGTCTACTCTTGCCCGTGCAGTCTTGACATGTTACCCAGAGACTCTGGGCCTCAGAGGGAAAGCAGAGTTCCTTCTCCCCAGGTTGCCTGGGCATCAAGCCAGTCGGTCCACAGGGAACCTTGAGCTCAGGGCCACGCAGGCAATGTGGCCTGCCACTGTTGTTCTTTATCCCCTTCAGCTATAGAAGTCGAGGCAATGAGGCCAAAGCAGTGGATGTTACTAAGGTGGCACAGAAAGCCAGGTGGCCTCTATACCTGAATGGTCTACTTCCCTCTGCTCTGGGCTTCCCACATGCACGGGTGACAACTCGCCCCTGGGTGCTGTGTGGGGCTGGTGGCCAAACCCAAGACTGGTCTGCCCAAGCCCGCACCTGTCTTCCACCGCTCCGGCTCAGCCAAAGACCACAAGCTCTCCCCACATGACCCGCAGCCCTCTTGGCACTGGACGCCCCAGAGCCCCAGCCCTCTCTGCCGCACTGGTCTGTAATCGCACGCTGGGCAGCGGTGGGTTGAGTGAAGCCTGCGCTCCGGGGGCTCTGCTCACGCTAGGTGTCCCCAGACCGAGGCATTGCTGGCTAGAGTCTGGCTGGTGTGGGACGGGGTCTTGAGCCTCACTGCCTGTGTCAGCTGGAGCCACAGAGAAGGCCTTCCCGGCTCACGGCCCATGAGCAGACTGTGGAGAGAGGCGGAGCCTGAGTTGGCATGTCCAGCAGATATGGCCTGAATGCTTTTTAGACCAAACATCTCCCAAGGCAGTTTCATAATCTGCCTTGTAATGCAGATTTAGACAACTTTTTACGAACGCACTTTTTAAAATAGGTCTTAATGGATCTTTGCAGTAGTTACAGTCCATTGTGTAAATGCAAACAGAAGGCTTTTTGAAAACATGTATTATTGATCAGAAAGGCAGCAGCAATTAGAAGCCAGTGTGTCGTATTGTTCAATACGCACTTCCTATACAGCCCTGCTGGTGCTTGCTCATAACTTTCTGACAAATTATCTTGTCACCAGGAAGCCCTTTCTTTTCCTTTTTGTTTCTGTAAGTGAAGGAGAACCTCTCGATTCATTATTATCTGGAAGGGAATAAAAAATTAAGCTTGCCTTTACCACGGCAAAACCTATTTACGACTTCTCCTCTGGTATCCAGACTAAAGTGGCAAGACCTT